TTAAACAAGTTTCAGAGCCAATAACTAGTTTTTTAGAATTACGTCAATCAGAACTTTTACAGAATGATTATTAAAATTAAAACTTTGATGAAGAGTTATCGGCCCATAGTCTTTAAATTTACATATTTTATTAATATAATGTAATACAACAACTTCAAGTGTAAACTCTATATACAAAGTTCAAGTTATAACTTGTATTCGTATTAAAATGTGGGAGTTTTCATTTAAAGAAATATTTAGAAATGATTTCTAATGAGTTCAAATGTTTTAGCAGATTTGGGAGGATGAGTGAAAAGAGAATTTGGACAAAAATAGATATTTCTCAAAACCCGTTTACATTTTCAAATTAATTATACGTTTACATATTAGAGGACTATATTTTAGTGTAAAATTAGTTTTTTTTTATTTCTACGAAATACCCACTTTTTATAATACGAATAATTTCATTTCATACATAATTTAAAATTAATAAAAACATTCGGCATTTCATAAACCACTGTTAGTCTTAGTAAATCTATTAAAGTTAGAACTAATATCGTTATTAATTAAAAATGTTTTTCGCTTTAATTTTAATAATTTTAACAATTTTAATACTCGCCGATTATTTAAGGAAAAAACGTATAAATGAAATTTTAAAAGCCGGTGGTGTGGGTGGTTCTAAGCTAACATTGCCTGTACTAGGCGATATCTTACTGGTTATAGGCTTAAATGTAGAAAGTATAAAACCAAATAAATTCAAAACCTCAAACACTTAAAATAATCACAAATATAAAATTTCCAGATCTTATCCAATTCTTTAAAAGTTGTCAACTTAAATATGGCAAAATCTATCGTTTATGGTCCCTGAATAAATGTATTTTGATAGTACAAGATGTCGACTATGTCCAGCATATTCTAAATAGTCCACGTCTTATTAATAAACCTTTTTTCTACGATCAATTATCATTATGGCTGGGTGATGGTATACTTTTGAGTTCGGGTACAAAATGGCAGAAACGTCGTAAGATTATTATGTCCACCTTCAACTATAAGTTACTGGAACAATTTGTGAAAATATTTGATCAACAGGCCCATGATATGGTCCATCAGCTACGTGATAAAGCCAATGGTGAACAAGTTATTGACATAGTACCCGTGGTATGTTTAACAACTTTAAATATTTTACTTCAAACTACAATGGGTGTAGAAATGAGTGCCCACAGTCCAGATGGTTTAGCCTATATGGAGGCTTTAGAGAGGTACTACTATTTTGGTTTAAAATCTACAGTTTCATTTACACTTTTCTTGCTAGTCTTTTTCATATCGTTGGATCACGTTTTCTAAGACCTTTGGAACATTTCGATTTCACCTTTAAGCTATTATCCTATAAAACTTATAGTAAACTTCTGAAAAATGTTCAGATATTACACAGATTTACCGAAAGACTTATCAACGAGAGAAGAGCCGAGTTGACGAAAACGATTAAAGATCTTGATAATAATGGTAAGTAAACACGATCAGATCTCAAACCCTATAACAAAGCTCTATTTACTTAGAAAAGTTTTCTATAGAAAATTGTTCGAGACAACAGTTTTCTATAGAAAATTGTTCGAGACAACAGTTTTCTATAGAAAATTGTTCGAGACAACAGTTTTCTATAAAAAATTGTTCGAGACAACAGTTTTCTATAGAAAATTGTTCGAGACAACAGTTTTCTATAGAAATTGTTCGTGACAACAGTTTTCTATAGAAAATTGTTCGAGACAACAGTTTTCTATAGAAAATTGTTCGAGACAACAGTTTTCTATAGAAATTGTTCGAGACAACAGTTTCTATAGAAAATTGTTCGAGACAACAGTTTTCTATAGAAAATTGTTCGAGACAACAGTTTTCTATAGAAAATTGTTCGAGACAACAGTTTTCTATAGAAAATTGTTCGAGACAACAGTTTTCTATAGAAAATTGTTCGAGACAACAGTTTTCTATAGAAAAATGTTCGAGACAACAGTTTTATAAGAAAATTGTTCGAGACACCAGTTTTATATAGAAATTGTTCAAGACAACAGTTTTCTATAGAAAATTTTCGAGACAACAGTTTATAGAAAATTGTTCAGACACAGCTATAGAAAATTGTTCAACAACAGTTTTCTATAGAAAAATGTTCAAGACAACAGTTTTCTATAGAAAATTGTTCGAGACAACAGTTTTTATAGACAAATGTTCGAGACAACCGTTTTCTATAAACAAGTTCGAGACAACAGTTTTCTATAGAAAATTGTTCAAGACAACAGTATTCTATAGAAAATTGTTCAAGACAACAGTTTTCTATAGAAAATGTTCAGACAACAGTTTTCTATAGAAAATTGTTCGAGACAACAGTTTTTTATAGACAAATGTTCGAGACAACAGTTTTCTATAGACAAATGTTCGAGACAACAGTTTTATAGAAAATTGTTCGAGACAACAGTTTTCTATAGAAAATTGTTCGAGACAACAGTTTTCTATAGAAAATTGTTCGAGACAACAGTTTTCTATAGAAAATTGTTCGAGACAACAGTTTTCTATAGAAAATTGTTCGAGACAACAGTTTTCTATAGAAAATTGTTCGAGACAACAGTTTTCTATAGAAAATTGTTCGAGACAACAGTTTTCTATAGAAAATTGTTCGAGACAACAGTTTTCTATAGAAAATTGTTCGAGACAACAGTTTTCTATAGAAAATTGTTCGAAACAACAGTTTCCTATAGAAAACAGACATAATTGTTTGAGACAAAAGTTTTCTATAGAAAAATGTTAGAAAAAAGGATTCTTTATTTTTGCATTAAAATTTTAGCAAATGAGTATGAGGAGATGGACATCAAGAAGAACCGGGCATTTTTAGATGTACTACTGCAATCGACCATCGATGGCAAACCTTTAACAAACAGAGATATTCACGAAGAAGTTGATAATTTTACATTTGGAGGACATGATACCACTACCTGTGCTATATCCTTTATTCTATATTTACTTTCACGTCATCCTGAGGTGCAACAAAAAGTATACGACGAAATATTAAGAATAATAGGACCCGACAAAAATAAATCTGTGGGCATGAGTGAACTGCAAGAGCTTAAATATTTGGAATGTGTTATAAAGGAGGCATTACGTTTATATCCTCCAGGACCAATTATTGGACGAACAACGGAGGAAGATTTTAAAATTGGTATGCGGAGATAGTTTTTTATAAAAATATTTTAATTATTTCTATATTTTTAGGAAATAACATCATACCTCGGGGTACTGATATTATGATATTGATTTATGTTATGTGCCGGGATTCTGACTATTTTCCCCGGCCTAATGATTTTTTACCAGAACGTTTTTCAGACGAAAATAATGAGAAAATGCATACTTCTGCCTTTTTGCCATTTAGTGCGGGGCCTCGTAATTGTATTGGACAAAAGTTTGCAATGTTGGAAATTAAATCCATAGTTAGTTGTCTACTGCGTCATTATGAGTTTTTGCCTTTGGGTCCCGATGTTGTTGCAATGGTATCAGTGGTTATGCGTTCGTCGAATGGTATAAATATGGGTTTGAAATTAAGAGAATAATAATTTTTGAACAAATTTAATAAAAAAAAGTTCCTTGCATTAATCGGTAAATTTTGCCGTACGCCTTCATGTAGATGTTTATTAATAATCCATTCCTTGTTCTTCCATTAAAAACACTCTTAAATAAAATTTTAACTATTTTGTAAACAAAACTCCATTTATTTCACTCTAATCCCATTTATACACTTGACCGGGAGTAGGTAATTTAGCAGCAGGTTTGGCATCCTCACCAGCCAACAATTTCTGTTGTACCAAATCAATTGGAGGATCTACCAAACGGCGAGGATCTCGGGTGCAATAGTAATTGGCGGAGAGCACATGTGCGGGGCCACCGGGTACATCTGGTGGTGGTTGTGTACGATCGGCTAGACCATCTTCGAAACGCAAAGCCAATGTGTGTTCACGCTGAGAAATAGAAAAGCTTTCATTAATAGGAATAATTTAATAGTAGCCAACCTTACATAACCCCACTAGAGGGTTGATTAGCGCATAGTTTTTACAGTCATGGAATACTTACGCCCAACAAAAAGGCACGTATACGCTGGAGGAAGGGTCCAATATCACGGCGAGCCACTGACATTATTGTTTTGAACTTAAAATAAATAAATTTCGAGGAAAATTAATAAATATTTTTGCAAAAAATTTCGCTCACAAAAACTTACCTAGACAAACTGTCAATTAACAACAACAACAAAACTAACTGTCAAAATAAATTAAACACAATAATTCACAATAGAGTTAAAAGACTGTAAATGCAGCGGTTTTATAAGAAAAATGGTAACGCCGTTTAAAATGTAAAAGGAACTTATTTATAAAAATTATTTCATATTTTTTTATTTTAATATCAATTTAAGAAAACAAAAACGAATTAATTGTTATATGTATATTGTAGAATTTAAAACATAAAATCTATTAATTATCATATTATATTTATAATCAAACAAGTTAACTACTGGAAGAAACTGATGTACAGCGATTTATTTCTCCAAATTAAGTTGGCAACGCTGAAAACAGCTGTACAATATTTATAAGATTTATTTTTATTATTTTGCACTTTTTGTTTACAAATTTATTGCAAATTTATATCGTCCTCCAAAATTAAATAAAAATGACTTCAAATCGTTCAATAACACAATCTAAAGAAGCTTTATTAAAATCCTATCAAGTGCGTCTTAAAGATGATGTCAAAAGTATGCTGGAAAATTTCGAGGGTAAGTTTCGCGCTTAGTTTTTACTCAAACACCATCGCGATTTCATTCTATGATGCTCATACATTTGCATTAGTTTTTCTAAACCTTCCCATACACCCTCCCCCGTAAGGGCACAACATTCCTGCACAATCCATTCGTGATATTCTGAGGCATTTCTTAAATCTAATAATTCAACAATTTGCTGTTGTTCAGCACTTCACCGGTTAAATCTTGTTTA